TATTTATTTTTAAATATAAATTATATAAAAAAAATTATATTTAGAATAAATTTAAATTACTGATAAATGAATATGTAAATTAAATTAAATTAAATTAAAAGTAAATATATATTGACACCCTTACACAGGCACAGACTACCACACTTACACTCGTTCATGTCCGCTGACAGTTTCTGTAAAAAGTTGAGTTGACAATTGCACATGCTATATGTTCAGTCATTCGGAATTTTTACTACTTGTCAGTCAAATAGCAGTCAACATGTAATAAAAAGTATATTGTCCTTATCTTTCTGTCCTTACTTCGTACATTCTGCTGTCTCTTTGTTATTTATATTCAAATATATTATCTATTTAACTAATTTAAAATTCGAAAAATTCTATTAGAATAATGAACAACATATCAAGTTAAATGATATAGTCATTATTACCTTTAGAAAATAATGACAAAATATTATTTCGTTTATTTTTGATCAATATTATTTAATAAAATCGAAATTTTTTCTTTCTCGTTATGATAGACTTTCATCTAAGCTAGAAAAAGAAAATGTCATTAAATAAGATTTTATTATTTCATCATCACATATAATGACAACAAAATCTATGCATAAAATAAAGATATATTCGTGCATTTCTTTGTCATACAAAGATGTTATATTTTTATTATCTTTCTAATTTATATATAATAAAGAAAAACTAATGAATATCAGTTGGTTAAGAAATCTTTCTCACCACACTAATAAATGGTTCGTGTGATAGACACTTGTGTCAATTCGTAATTGTTGATAGATCAACTGCAGCATCGATGCAATATTTTTTGCCGTTTTAATTTCATTGATAAACATCTTTTTACTTCACACAACTGATTTGACAGGAGGACAAATAAGTTGATGAATAGATCAGATTTTGCTCGCTATTAATCAATAGATAATATTGAATTTACATTTGTTGTTACTATATTATTAATCTTCTATAAGAAAATTAAAATCTTGTTTCATTTCTGAGAAAAAAATCTTTAAAATTTTTCTAATAGTTTAATAGAACATATTTTTGATAAAGAACATAGTAGTCATTGGATTAGAACATTTGATGCTGTTGAATAAGGGTGTGGATATGGATGTGCGTTTCTATCAAAAGAAAACTAACACCCATACTCACATCATCTCACGTTCCCATCTTGCTCAGACATAAATTCATTCGTCTTCGAGATACAAAATTCAAGTCATATATATTTATTCAACAAAAACAAAGTGCTAAAAACGATGCCACATAAAATCAAGGACAAATGCATTTTGAATTACATACTAAAAAAAAAGAGGAAATGAAGAAGTTCCAACAAGACCGTTAAATGGTCCATAATATTTATCATCATCATTTGCATTACTCTTATTCATAGATAATTCTTCTATAATCATTTTCTAGTAATACAAATGATTCTGTCGTCACTGAATAACCATCTCAAAACTCAATTAAACTATCGTGTTATCGATGAGCCTAGTACTCAGCATGATTATCACTGTTTTTCTTTGAATTTAGTCTTACCTACCTGATGCTCTCTTTTAAAATCGAAACTAATCTTTCTGGTTGTTTCTGCTATTGAAAATATTTTAGTTTTCGTAGAAGTTTGAAATCATGATAATTTATTCTTTTTATTCTACTCAGATGTCGATCGTTTCATGGATATGTACAAATTGGTTTTTTTCTTTCATTTACTTTTAGCATTAGTTTATAATGCTGTTGTTCTACTTCAACATTATAGTAGATCTATATTACTTGTTAAATAAAAACAAGGAAAAAACCAAAGATAATAAAAAGAGAAAATCTCAGATGCTAGCAGGATGAGCTCTGCATGGTGTCCGGGATAAATGCTGTTCATGCAGCGATCAATAGTCTCAGCAGATATCAAAATTAGATTTTTGGAGTATCTCGGTAACTTTATCTTTTGAATAAAAAAATTCCTTGGCTAAACCGTGTAGCAAACGTCTGGATGACCATTATTTTTCTATGTATTTCCGACTTTTCAATATTTTGTCCATGGTTTTTTTCGATTCTTCAGGTCATATGTAGAAAGAACACAAAAAACTGCATCGAACCATGTACTGAATTCACGGGATAGAGACTAAATAGCAAAATAATTGACAATTTTTTTGGTTCTTTTTTCTAGTTCAACCTAAAATATAATGAATCTTTTTTTTTCAAAATTCTCATTTGGGTATGATTCGAGTAGAGCAATTCATTTTGCTTCTTAAAAAAATTTGTTGATTGCTCTCAGATGACTTTTTAGGGTTCAAATCGGTCAAAAACTAAAATAAAAGAACCGACAATAGTGTATCTAAAAAACTAGTTCGTTTTGATCATATTTTGACCTTCTCTAACATTTTCAAGCAAAATCAATATGATATTCGTGATCGGCAATGTCGATAATCTATAGATTCCTTAAACTTAACGAAAAACAGAAAATTAGTTTCTCGAGGATTTCGTCGGGAGCCATAGACAAAAAAATTTTCCAGTATAGGTGTGGGTGTGGACGAGTGAGTGTTGAGATATTCTAATTCAATCATCCACGCCCAAGTTTTTGTTCACTGTTGTTTGAATGCATGTAACATATTTGTACTTTTCGAAACAAACTGTCGGTCTATAGGGCTGAAACTCTCAAAGTAAGTTAAGTAATCATAGATGCATTTGTGATATAAATTTGAGCCCTAACTGATGATGTATAAGAAAGAAATTGAAAAACTATTGCGCGCACGTTACTTATGGGCTATTGTGTATGATCTAATACTACCAGCTAGTTTTCAAACAAAAAGAGTTCTTATCGAATAATCTTTTTATTTTGATATTAAGTGAAGATTGATAAAATATCACAGAAAAATAGAGCATCATTTTCTCTATCACTACGTAAAAAAAGAAAATTTCTTTGTGCTTACTATAAAGAAATAAGATAGTGACGACTACTACTTTTGGATTGCCCTAAGTCAAAAGATATTTGTAAATAAGGTCACAACATTTATGGTAAATGTAGAATAAACAACTATTGCTTCAATGAACTGAAGTGAATGAAGCGACTACCAGTGAGTGGCATCTCGTATGAGTATCGACGAACGACTAGCCGAGAATATTGTAAGTGCACTACAGATTGACTTCACAAACGATCTGTGTAAAAGCCAGATTTTTTTAAAGACTATTGCACTTATATTTCCTTAATGAGGAATTTCAATAAAACTGGTTTTTCAACTAGACAATGAAATTGAAGATATCAGTAATGGTTCACAATAAAGCTTTGGTTTAGAAATTTTCGTGCTAGAAATCGAATGATTTTTGAAAGTAAGCTGAGTCTGAAATTAGGTGAGGTGTAAATTTAAAAAAAAGCATGGCCTTATGGTGGAATAGAACTAAATATAACAGTGGCTAGCCGCTGCGCTGGAAAATCCTCTGAAGAATCGCTTCAAACTATTGGAATTCATCGGATAAATGTCAATAGTTGAAATCTAATGGGTTTGAAAAAGGAATTACCAGTGATAAAGAACTAAGAAATATTTTGAAGTAAGGTGTGAGGATGGCTTTTCTGTATGTATACAACATTTGAATAATACACTTGACAGAAAACATCATTCAAAGAATTTCTATTCGTTGTATAGAAAGTAGATATAAATGAACTAAAAGGGAGTTTTTCTGTTGGTATATATTCTTATTTGTATTCATTCGCATGTCGAAATGTATACGAATATATTCAAAATATCTGTCTAGTCTGATGGTTGCTTTGAGTAGGAGATTCTTTCAAGTATGATATTCCGATTATAGGCCAGATCTAATATCATTTATTTTAAGCTAGAAGTTCAGCTTATCTCCTATTTTTTTAGCTTACACTCTCGTAAACAACATTGTTGGCAGATGTACTAGTAAGGATACGAATTTCTAATACAATTTTCAAAGAATATGGTACGTTTTCACAATAGTGACACGAATGCGTGAGAATAATGCTGCCGTAGTGTAGTTCTGTAGATTTCTGTTGAGTATCAATTTGATTAAATGAACTTATGACAAAAAAATCATCACAAAGACTCGCATACCATTGTGTAAAGCTAAATTCACGCTAATATTAATGTACACACACCTACCCATCCTGTTGAAACGTTGGATACTAGCCATGTTGAAGACTATAAAGCAGTATATAACTCCAAAAGTGTTGCATATTTAGTCGAGGATTAAGTGAGTCACACTAACGAGTGTTACTTTTAATTGATACATATATATATTCAATAGAGAAGATTTTTCTTCTTTTAAAATACTAAAATTTAATATTTGAAACTTTTTCTATTCAATGGTTGGAAGTCTTTTCCATAGATGAATCATATTTGACTGGATCAATCTGATTGACGAAAAATAAAAAATAGTATCTAGACAATGATTATTGACAAATTAAAGATGAGTATTCTACAAGGTTAACATTCAATATATTGAAAATCTCTATATAGAATATTTCTAGAACGTTTTCTCGATGTAGTATAAACGTTAACTACAAGTCGATGATAATCGTTTGGGATGATGTTATTCTCTATTGATATTCGTATAATTTGTCATCTTATATAAATAATTAATGTGTAAATATATCAGTGAATTTACTTCATGAATAATTCATAAATAATTATTTAAATATATATTTATAATCGAACTATGTTCGACATATATTATAAATAATAAGTAAAACAATCTTTTTTTTTTTTCTTATGATGATAATAATGAAATAAAATATGTTGTTGTCATATTCAATGTCTAGAGAAAAGAAAATGAAGGAAAACTCTAACTGAGATGTTGAGTCATCTATCGTTCTATAGTATTTTAAATATTTTCCATATTTCATAAACAATTAACTAAGAAGTTGTCAAAGTTACTGTTAACATTATGGTAAAATTCCATATTTATCTGTAAATTTTTATAAATTGAATCTATTTATATTAATTAGTGGAATAGATTTATTTTAGTATATTATAAAAAGAGAATTAATGTATAAATCATATCAATCAACATGTCCAGCAACAAATAGATTTCTTAAAAAAAGATGGGACGATAAATATTATAGTGATCATCGAATATTGGTAATATAATACAATTTAATTAATTAATATATAAAATTTATTATGGATATATTTGTTAGGTACGTGATGCTCAACCATGTGTTGATGCACGTCCTCCACAAACTTTTCTACATCTTCATATGAAATATAAAAAATTTCAAGTATGATTATTATTTTGTTTTGTTTAAGTTGATAGTTATTTCGATTTTTAAATTATAGTTGGAAGAAGAACGTCGAGCAATAATTGAACGTGATAATCGTATATTATTAGAAAAAGTGTCACATATTATGAAAACAAAAGGATCTGTTGATAGTTATCATCATCAATATGAATTAAAAAGGTTAAATTTATTTTTATTTATTTTTTAAATATATTTTTATATTATTTATTAGTCTTAATCAAGGAAAACGTCGACAAGAATTATTAAAAGTTTCAAAAGAAAATGCAAATATTATGAAAAGACTTATACAACAAAAACTTGATATTAATAGAGAAAATTGGAAAGATAATTGGGCTAAAAATTCAGTCTATTTTGATAATATTGCTAAATATGATATTGATTGGTTTATTTCTAAAGTAAATAAAAGAATTTATTTCAGATTTATTTTTAAATAGTTCATTTAGATTTAATCACAAACTAATATATATTGATTTAATTCGTTTGAATAGTCAAACGATATATACAATTCATTAGTAAGAGCACTTATCAAACAACATTTTACATTTACAATTAACATCTTTCACCCTTTGGTTACGAGGCCAGGCATCTATACGTGTTGGGCTTGTGATCGAACTACTTCTCTTACAGTTTTGACTTTTTCG